TTGTATTATAAAATCCATTCATTAAAAACATTCATATATATGTTTAAGTATATACTATAAAATTAAAATACATTTCTTTTAAATGTATAGCATATTTTTTAATAAGGCAACAACATATGATAGATACGATAGGACAAAACAAATACAGTGCAGCACGAACTGTTTTTATACAGTCTATGAGCACGAAGCGCTTACAATGTGCGCATCCGGTGTGCAGAATGATGCGCTTGAAGCAACATGGAGTCACAGCCTGACGCCGTGTTGCTTCCAGCGCATCGTTCTGCACACCGGAGGCGCACATTGTAAGCGCTTCGTGTTAAAAACTGCAAAGCACAAAGGGAAGAGAAATCGATGCGTAGTGTATTATATCTGTGCAACAGTTATTGAGCCTTTCTTTTAACAGTTTTAAATTTCAGTTACTGTGCGCGTTAAAAACTATTTATAGTCTTTTCTACGCCCGTGTTTTGTTCTCACAGACACCCGGTAGCAAGTAACAAAACAACAGTAAACTTTTTTTTTTCAACATTTTTGCAAAATCATAGACATGTATTTACAAATCAAGTATAATGGGAACACCGAATGATCTCTACGATGATGGTTTCTACATGTATTTACGCTTTGATTTGAAAGAAAACAGCGCATCCGTGCAGCGCGGCTGGCACAGAATAGCGTACGCTGCTTGCGTTCAGCGGATATTCTCCAAAATGGCGCTACGGTGATGCGGAGAGACACAGAGGAGACGAATTGTTGACTAAAGTCGTTATTTTTGTTTTCTTTGCGTACAAAAAGTATTCTCGTCGCTTCATAACGTTACGGTTGAACCACTGATGGCAGATGGACTATTCTGACGATGTCTTTCATACTTTTCTGGACCTTGACAGTATAGTTTACTTGGCAGTCAATGGGACAGTCACAAGCCTCCCGGTTTTCATCCAAAATATCTTAAATTGTGTTCCGAAGACGAACAAAGCTTTTACGGGTTTGGAACGACATGGGGGTAAGTGATTAATGACAAAATTATAATTTTGGGGTGGAGTAACCATTTAAGCTATCATATGGCTTCAGAAGTAACACAGAATAATATGCACAATCTCGGATATGGATCGGCCCTCTCTGACCGATACCCGATCCGACAAAAATGGCAGTATCGGAGCCGATACCCGATATGAATATCGGATCGGCGCATCCCTAATGATAACTAATATCATTACGTAAATGGATGCTGCTGAATATCTATAAGGTGCATTAGTAAAAATTTAATCGAGAAGTGATGATTTATCTGGCTTTTTGAAGTTTATCCTGTTTGGAGTATTTACTAATTGCTGAATATTAAAAGTATCACAAATGAGTCTAACTTCAGCAGACAAAGACTGTAACCAGTTCCAATTTAGATCTCCAATTAGTACTATTTCCTTAAAATTCAACTTAGATAGAGAATGTGTTAAAGATAAAAGAGATTAATTTGTTGCTGACGGAGGTCTATAACAACCCACAACAGTAAGAGCTAAAGTCTTTGAAAATACTACATCGACTGCCAGTAATTCAAATTGTTTAGATATTGATTTAGATATCAACAGAGTTGCCGCAAACCTATTTCTTATATAAATCGCTAACCTGCCCCCTCTTTTTGGCCGATCGATTCTAAAAACTTTATATCTTAACTCAATATTAATGGCATTATCTGTGATTGAACTTTTAAGCCAGGTTTCAGAGATTACCAAAACATCAGCATCAGTATTCTTTATCCATATACGCACCGTGTCCATTTTAGGAAGTAAACTTCATAAAAATGTACTTCGTACATTTAGGTGAACAAAGCCTAACCCTGATCTGATTTTAAAATCTGCCGGAGTAGAATATGAAGTTGGTACATCAGCGGTAAATCTCCATCACCTGCGGGCTTTCACATGGAGCAGCATTAACTACACAGAGCCGTTGTTCACTGACAAGCTGCGCAAAACCACGATCATATTTTGCGCAGCTTGTCGGTGAACAACGGCTCTG